AGAGAAAATGTTTTCCAATAAACGTTTGGACAGAAAGTCATTAAACGAGTCGTTAAACAGCAAAAGGTGTCGATTCGCGGCCAACGGGTCCGCCGGTGACCACTCGTCCTCCTCGTCGTCGGCGGTGATAGACATGAGAGACGCTGTGATCGCAAACCAATCACAACTGTTCTCTTCGCCGAAGTTCAGTGACGTAACCATCGCTGTGGAGGACGTATCCATTCCCTGCCATAAGGCTATACTCGGCTCGCAGTCCGACTTCTTTGACCGTCTCTTTGAGTCACAAATGAGTGAATCGCGTCTCACAGCCAATGAGCCGCTTGTCCTCCGAGACACTGATCCACAGCTGTTCCGAGTGCTCCTCAAACTGGTCTACAGCGGACGACTCGACTTCCAAGAACTGGAACCCATGGATGTCATCAAACTGTTTGGTCAGTATTTAAGACACCCTCTCTATTGCACGCTTTAATTGATATATAAATATCGTATTTGTTGTCCACAACAGGTCTGATCCAAAGATACCAATTCACTGCATTCGAGGCCCCATTTATGGTCAAAATCAAGTCAATGGTAAACGCGTCAAATGTGTGGCAACTCTTCCAGACATCGATGGAAAACCATTTAATCGATTGTCAAAACGTTTGCCTCGAATTCTTGGACACGTTCTGCAGCGCAAACCCACTAATGACTGAAGACTTCTTCATGATATCAACCGAAACATTGAAGACACTATTAGTACGCAATTCTCTTCGTCTGCCAGAAGTGGATCTCTTTCTGTTGGCCAAGAAGTTCCTTGAAGTGAACAAATTGGATGACCAAACGTGCGAAGAACTCATTCAATGCATTCGTCTTCCACTCATGCGATACGAAGATCTCGTTAGCGTTGTCTCAAACAGTGGTTTAGTCTCTGAACAGCGTTTATGGCGTGTAATGAAAGACAAAGCGGTGATCACTAATGAGAATCAGTCCAATCGCTTCAATTGGGACGAGTTGTTGATGAATATGACTAACAGAGGGCTTGTCATCAATACCTCGTCAGACAATACAAGTCTTTGTATCGATCAGTTCCTGTTTGAGGTGATGGCCGGACAAGTGGGTGATCTCGTGGCGCCCGCAGATCAGCCCTCGTCCACAGAGTGGCCAATCGTTGTCCGACTCGGCTTTCCATTGAATGTAAATCACATCGATTTGCAACTGTCGGACATTAGAGGCGATCGGTTCTCATATAAAATCCAGTATTCATCGGAAGGTCTTATTTGGGAGACACTCTACGACTACACCAACTTTACGACAGCCAATCAACAAAGCCTGTACTTCGAGACAATAGTGGCCCAACAGTTCCGCATCCGAGGCACTCATCAGATCCGTATGGACTCCACGACTAAAGACTCTTTCAATTCAATCAAATCGTTTCGATGTTATTATAACCCAAAACAGATGGCCGTCGAGCGGATCGATGGCCTATTAGCCAATCCGTATTGGATCAGAAACGCTATACAACAGCGCGTTTATCACGACTCAAACACTACTGGACAACAAGATATGAAATACTATTCGAGACTCATGGCGTCCCATAAGCCCATAATCGTGGCGTTGGATCAGCCGGTGATGATTGACTCGTTTGAGTTTGTCCTGTGGGACAAAGACGAGAGGGCTTACAGTTATGTCGTCGAAGTGAAAGACGGCAACGATTGGATCAAATTGGCCGACAAGTCGCAGGACGTGTGCCGTTCACTGCAGACCATTGCGTTCAGTCGACGGCCCATCAGTTTAGTACGCGTTCGGGCCGTGAAAATACATTTTGTTGACTGCAATCAGTTTCGAGTCATTAAATTTAATTTCCCAAAAATATCCAAAAAATTATTTTAATACTTCGTTTAGAAAATATTCATTTAATGGTATTTTTATAATTGTTTTATCTGTAAAATAGATTGTTATAAATGCTCTGTTATTTCTAATAAATGCATTATTTGTAATAATTTCAATGTAATGTATTGTTAACACAAATATGTTGTATTATTCACTGTAAATATAACCAATTATTAATCCAATAAATCTAGCACTTTTAAAATCCAAACTAATGACCTTAAAATATTACATTATTTATATCAATAGATTAATAATTAATTAAGTTTGTAATTAATTCTTGCATACTATAGGTATGTTTGTTGTATGAATTTGTGGACCGTTTGTGTTTAACATACAATACAATTATAATCAATAGTATGAGAGACAGAAAGCATATCATTACTGAAATGTTAACAATTGTTAGCAAATTATAAGTTAATTCTTCTTGAGGTTCATTTGGTGGCAAAATCACAACCGATTGGATATCAAATGATCCGATTATATACCCAGACATTTGCAGTACAAACTTAAATTCATTGTTTTCCAACACTTTGATCCCATCCATGGACTTGAATCCGTCTCTTATGCTGGATATCTCTTGCGGACGGATTAGCGGTCCCTTCGGTCCCAACACACGGACGCCAACAATGTTAGCGGTAAATGAGATATTCCTTCGGGGTTTCCACTCAACACTTATAGTGTACTGTCCTTTAGATTTGGGCTTTACTTTAATGTCTTCATGAATACGAATAGACTTGTATTGAGTGAAAGTGAGATTATGTTTTGCAGGAAAATCCCAAATCAGTTCCAGAGGTCTATCCAAATATTCATTGGATGTCATCGTGTTTACCAACAATTCATTAAAATTTGAATCCAATTTAACGACAATTGTGTGCAAATATGGCAACACTTTCTCAACAATTTGTTTGGAAAAGTGTAGAGAATAAGTAAAATATTGATTGAAAGTGTGGTTCAATGTTATTATCATGTCTTTGGTGTCAGGATTTTCAACAAACGATGAGTTGATTAAGTTTTTGGTAATCGTTTCGTTTATTTTCTAAATTTATATAAAAACACATATTTTACATAATTTACAAAAATATTTTTTTTTAAAACTATAGTTAACAGAAACTTACAGTTAAACATGTTTTACAATTATTTGTCTCCGTTTGGGAATAATTGAAACAAAAGTCTTCGAGAAATATATAGGAAGGAGAGGGAAGTTTGGATGAGAAAAA